AAAGGCAAATGAAGAAAACAGTACAATAATAAGTTATGGTGTCACAAAGCCGGCAACCTTTCAAATGCTTCCAATGAAGATGATAATGTCAATCAATTTGATAATCGGATATCCCAGAAAACCGCGCAAAATAATGCAAAAGGTATTCAGTTAGTCGCATTTCGTGTTCGGCCAAGATCGGTTTTAATTTATGGGCGAAAGATAGTAAGTAAAGTTCAAAATATTTAAGAACAGATCCTTTGCAAATTTAAAATTCTGAAATATAATCAGTTAATAATTTATTATAATTAAATATAATGTGATTATCATAAAAAAACTATATTTTAAATTTATTTTTTAATCGTTTAAATTTTTCAATGACATGCCTACTTTGGGTACGATATATATACCTATATCAAATTAACACATAACAATCCTTGTTCCTCAAAGAATATAATTAAAATATTTCTTTTTATTTGCATTTTTTTTGTAAAGAATATCTGATATGTTTTTTAGAGATATTTCAATAAAATTATTAAAAAATTATAAATACATTAAAGAAAAACTAAAACAATAAGCAAAATTACCTAATACAAACATTTTAAAAAACTGATTAGTTAAGTGTATCATTTTGCCTCCAAAGCAACATTAAAAATATTTTATGTAAGTTGACCATTTTACGTGAAAATATGCTACAAAATGGATTCTTTCACCTTTTTTTCAATAAGCCCGGATTATTTACGATAAAATTGGCTTAAATTCGTTCTCCTTATTTGTTCTTCGTTGATGGCATTATTTTCATTACCAGTTACGCTTTACGAAATCGAAAAAAATATTTCAGATATTATTATTTTGTACATGTATTTGTTCTTAAGTGAACAATGCTAGTTAATCCTGTATTACTAATATTTTTTTTATGTGAACGTTGCCAAATGAGCAGACGGTTTAACCGATGTTAAGTGAATACCGCCGCCCGTGGACATCCGCTACATGCGAGGGTTGCAGATGCGTTGAAAACCTTTTGAAAATTGGACTCCGGCTACCTCACTCACCAGACGAAACGCGAAAGTATTACACTTCCACTTTACGCCGGTCTTCTGTGAGGTCGTGGTACTTACCCGGACGAGCTCGCCCATTCGTGCAACAGCCGAGGCTGCTGCGTGGCCCTACCACTGTTAAAATATGTTGGCTTATTGACATAAACGTGAGCAATACCTTTGAAATTCAGTTACACGAAATGTTTATTAAATTTATAATTTATAATACATTTGACCAGCTAAATATATTCAACCTTTTTTATATTTTCGATTCGCGTTATTATCACGTAAATTAAAAGTTATTTTTTTCATAAGACAAAAACCTTTAGAAATTCTAACTGGCACTTCAAGATGTACCGAGCAACTTATTATTTGTTTGTACAGTATATTGTACAATATTATCTACGGTTTGTTAGTTGTAGTGAACGGGTAATTACACTAGTGACGTGCCATTGATAAAATATTTATACAATAATTTCTATAAACTTTTATATATGTTTGTTTTGTTAAAAAATTATGACTAATGAAATAGTGTTTGAAAAAAAATACTGAATATTTTTGTATTCAAAAAGAATTTGCTCTGGCAATAATTCAGTGTTCTTTTTATAAATATTTAGTTGTATAAGAAAGCAATTTAGTAACTGAAAACGTTTATAAAATATTACATTAACTTTATAGACAATAACTTTACTATTTTATCTATATATTTTATAATTAATAAAACTCGTAAAATAAAGTTTATCTAGCCGTGATTGGTCAGTGTCCGGGCTCTCCGATAATTCAATATAGTACCCGGAGGACTTTGCTTTGCTCGGTTTATTTTTTTTTTTTGGTAAATCGTGTAGCGTTTGAGTAATGAAATATGCATAATATTTTTCGATCTTACCGACGTAATAATAAGAAAATATGAACTGATGTTTTTCACAAAAGAAAGAACTTTAAAAAAAGAGGGAAAAAAATAAAAAAATAACAAATCGACAAAAAATTAAAAATTAAGAAAGCAATGATCTGGAATCGAAAAAAAAGTAAAAAAATAAATGTGTAAATGATCGTGACACGAACCACGGCCTTCTGTTTCGTGGCCGCCCGATTACCGACCAAGCTATTATAACATTTTTTTTTGCGGCGAAATTTACCGTCGTATTCGAATGATTTTTCGAATCTACGCACGTACTAAATTTCTTTAAAATCGCTGGAGCCGTTTCCGAGATTCTGCTTATATATATACTTGTATATATATATATATATATATATACAAGAATTACTCGTTTAAAGGATAAGACTTGAGCAACCTGAGTACAATTCCCTGTGGCGGTACTAATGAAATCAATTGAAATTAATTTTAATTGTGCTTTAAATGTGCTTAGCGGTGAAGAGAAACATCGAAGAAATCTGAATATTTTCGAAATAATAACAAAAAAAAAATATAAGACATGTGAAGTCCACTAATCCGCAGTGGGCCGCTATGTGGACTATGCCCTAATACCCTCTTTACAGAAGAAGCCTTTGCCTAGTAGTGGGACATGTATAGACTGTTAGTTTAATTAAACTGAAAATGTAGGCACATTTCTTGTTTCTCGAAACTTATTGTGGTGTCATGTCAGTCATAAGTATCCAAATTATCTTTCTCTTCTTATAATAGCGTTTACTTTTAACGTTGTTTCATGTTTGTAAAAAATGAGCCATAAATGTAATATAATATCCATTTTGGTCCTAATTAAGATCTCAATGGGTGGAGTACTTCACTAAATTAACACAATACCAAATGATACGCCTTACTGTTTCTGAAACGCTACCAGCATTTGCAGAGATGTCTGCGATGCGTAAAGTAATATAATTTTCATTAAGTAATATATTCGTATATTAACAGCTATCATTTTACAAATTCTTAAATGAAGTGGCTGCTCGTCTATAAATTATTTAGCAAAGGTAAGTAAATGACTATTAACGAAATAACAAAATGAACCTAATTATGTCAGTTATACAGTGATTTTGTACTCTCTTCAAACACAATGGCTTAACAGATTCAATTGAAAATTTAACTGGAAAAGCCGGAACACGTTTGTGCAGGACAAGGTACAACCGTGGTGTTTATTTTTCACAACTGCAGTAAAATAAGCAAGATTTAGTTATTAAGTGCCTGTAGTGGTGATTGGGTAAGTAATTAAGTGGCTTTTTAATTTATTCTACAGAATAGGACAGGACTTCTTTTTTCCTAATCACTTGAAAATTCTAAAATAAGAGACGGAAAAGTGAAAATACAATATTATTGTTATATAAATACTAAAAAAGTGATATTCACTAGTATTTAGTAGTATTATAAATTCTAGACATAAATAATGTTCTATAAAAATGATAAATATTTAAAATCACCCGTAAGTAATTGATTACATTCATTTGAACTTAGCTCAAAAAGTGCGTGATTTAGTGGGGGAACTCATTTATTTTACCCGCGCTCATTAATAACTAACACGCACACAAGTTCGTGCACAGTAAAATTTTGGTATTTATGAATGACTACCGCATTGTTAACACGTTCTGTTTTTTAGGGAATAGAATGGCATTTTTTTGGAAAAAAATCTGTCCTAAAATATTTATTTATTGTTATTAACGAGGTTCAGGCTAGACGCCCCGTGCGCCAGACCACCTCAAGTCCGTCGGATCTGTAAAGGCCCCTAAGGCCAACAGTGGCTCATTAAGCCAAAAAAAATGCATGTTAAACATTTTTTATTTACTTTCATCTGAGTAGTATTGCTAATAATCTAAGAATAAGGAAAAACACGGTACGCTCTACGTAAAAGAAAATTATCAGTTTGTAATAAATCAAAGTGTTACTGCCGGATGCGTCTTGAACATGGCAATCGATGTGTGATAAACAAGTAGTGGCTGATAAGTATCAAATACTTTAGTAGAATTAAGTAGGATAAGATATGTAGGATGTGACTTTTCAGAATATGTACCAAATAAGCTCCCCTGTCGTTTATACCAAATGAAGGTGTTATTTCATCTATTTAGTTACTAAGTCGCCTAGCATCTTATAGTATACATTTGCTTAGCGATTTTTTAATTATTATTTATCTTCACCTTTAAATAACGATTGGGTGGTTCTATTATTCGACATATTGTTAGCTATAACATTGATAAACAAACAAAAAAAAAAAAAGACAAGAAATAAAATAATAAAAAACCGCCGAAGTGCGAGTCGAGTTCGCGAACGAAGGGCTTCGTACCATTATCTAAAAACGACAAAACAAGCATCTGTTGTATGTATATGTATTTTTTTGTTATTATTTCGAAAATATGCAGGTTTCCTCACGATGTTTTCCTTCACCGCGGAGCACGTGATAAGTCAGCACTTAAAGTCAAAAACTTCGGATCAAAGTCAAAACCGGGGATCGAACTCAGGTTGCTCGAGTATATTGAAATAAAGGCGAGCGCCCGGACACTGAGCTGGTCTTTCATTTGGTCATAATAAATGTAAGTAGTAAATGAGAAAAGCGGTGCGAGATTAAAAATGATACTGTTTAATTTAAAAAAATAACATAATTCATAATCTTTAGACCTAGTTATGAAAAACCTTGTCAAAGGACCTTATGTCCAAATGGTGACCTTTCCGGCTTCAATTTTCCGGTAACGATAACTCATTGAGACGTAAGTTGATGTTAACAAGATTAAAAAATATTACTCTCTGCAATCCCGATTAGGAGAGACTCTACGGTTAAAGGAAAACTGTCTATTATCGTGTAAAAACGTTCAACAAATTTAGGTTGAACTTTATTCGCTCGGATACACACAATCGGATCATTTTTTCCCGCTCTTTTATATCAAATAGTCGTTTACAATTCGCTATTCAGGAACTGTTGTTTTAGTGACCGAATGTGACGGTCGTTGTAAAGAGAACATTAAATTAACTCGATGGGGCTGAATGAGAATTATGAGAGTGTTAAGAGTGATTTCGTTGATTTCAGGAAAAATAGCAACAACATGCTAACAGGATGGAGACTTGCCCTATCTAAACGTAAGTTGTCAGTTTTTTAAAGTTTTTCAAATATACTAAAAATATAACACTACCGTATAACACCTTTGTAAACTTCTACAACGATAACAGAAATAATTATGCAGTGATTGTGGTCATGTACAAATATTTTTCGATGAGAATTTATTTCGTAATTATTAATTATTAAGTATACCTACTTTGATTTATCTTTTATGGTAGCTTATTATAATATGTAACGAACAATACTTCTGGTCACTTATAAGTGTTACTTAAGAGCAACATAAATCTCATATTGAAGGTTTAAGGCATAGTTATGTAAACCATGGCTTTGCTTTGTCCTAAATAGCATATTGGTTGATGGATAATTCGTTTAATTATTGCGTTATATAATCGTTCGTAAATTATAATAACAGCGTACTATACTCACGGATTATACTCAAAATACAAAAAGAATACAGAAAATGAGTTTTTTTCTGTATTCTGAGATATTATAGTAAAGTCGCTAAAAAGACAAGTTGTCTCTAAATACGACAGGTACCTACTAGTCAGATAAAGGTGGGTGATGAAACTTCTCTTATATTATTACAACAAATTTGAACTCGGAAGTTAAGTTAATTAATCATACATAGATATTTTATAAAGATAAAACGCGCGAGAGTAAAGGGACTCGATAATTTCTTCTCAAGTTAAGGGATAAACACCACCCATGGTTACCATTCCCAACTCCTTTGGAGATGCCTTACGACCTGAGGTCGTGGTACTACCCCGAACGAACCTGCTCATTCGTGGAAAAGCATAAGCTGATCGTTTCCCTACCACAGTGCCTAGAGAGTAAAAGTAATACTTTAAAAGATATAAAAGTGAAGATTTTTGGCTTAACAGGACATAGGAGAAAATATTAGAAAAGATTATTTTACGGGTATAATGGTGTTTAATTTAACAAACTGTTCAACTTCAGAGGTTTCTCGTCAGAGGAATATGAACACGAAATTTGAAATCATTCAGATGCCTTTCACTACATTAAATCGTCATATATATACGAAGCGAATAATAAACAGTGTATTTAAAACAAAAATCACAGTGGTTTTGTGGAAATGTGTAGAATTCATAAAACGTTAATTGCAATGCGTAGGATTGGTAATTGTCGTTGATACGTTATTTTTGATATTATATTATTTCTTGTCTCTAGTATTCATAATACCCCAGCGGTATGTGTTGGCCATAATGGCATTGCTTGCCATTGCCAACGCGTACACAATGCGAGTTTGCCTGAACTTGGCCATCACCCAGATGGTGAAGAAGACGGTGGCTGTCGAAGGGGACGCGCACTTCGATCCTGACGCGTGTCCAGATATGAATGTCGTGTCAAACAGCAGTATGACCGACCTCAAAAATTTTTACAGACAGGATGACGAAGTGAGTGCTGTTAAGTTTTTTTGTATGAGAGAAACTTCTGCTATATAGACTGCTGGACTATTGGACTGCTGGAAAGATGTCCCTTTCGGTATTAAGTTACCTCACTCACTAAAAGAAACACGAAAGTAAAAATAATTATTTACGCCACTCTTCAATAAAGAAGTTACATTTAGCCAATCAAGCCAGCCCATTCATGCGGCAATGGAACCTGCTGCAGTGATTAACAGCAACAAAATAGAACTAGATAATGCAAAATAGTTTAATTGTTTCCTTGTTCAGATTTTATAGTTGGTAGTAATGGGTGAATGATTATAATGCACATGATAAGTATGTGAAGAAACGTTGAATTCTAGAAGTTTTGATTGTAATAAAAAAAATAAACTATCACATCTTGAAACCTTGACGGGATAGATAGAGATAAAACATGATATAAGATCCTGCTAACCATCCCTGGAGTTCCAAAGATTGTAAATTCCGAATTTCCTCTCCTATATAATATTATGTTTCATATAAAATCCAGTTAAAACATCATCACTGCTATAATATTTCGAGATTCCCTTCGAATATCCATGGTGCCGGCACCAATGAAATTGTTAATTTTAAACGATGAATTATGATGTGTTCAGCGGTGAAGGAAAACATCGTGAGTAAACCTGCATATTTTCGAAATAATAATAAAAAAAATATTTCGAAGATATGTGAAGTCCGCCAAACCACAATGGGGCCCCGTGGTGGACTATGCCCTGATACCCTCTGTACAGAGGAGGCCTTTGCCCAGCGGTGGGACATGTATAGTAGGCTGATACTTTTACTTCGAATATAATAAAAATAGGGAGGGGACTGCCATAGAATTACTTGTACCAACTTAGGCAAATAGAAGTATGTCGGTAAATAAATTTTGTTGTTTATGTTAGTACTGTTGTAAGTGCTTATATTATGATTATATTATGTAGTTAAGCGCCGTATGTGTTGGTAGTAAGTTAAGCAAAACTTATTGTGATACGGCAATGACAAAAATTAAAACGGTCAACATTTTTCCACGCCCGTGTCTTCAAACTTCAAATTTCATACTGTATGTTGACTCGGCTGCTGGTAAGATTGGTGGGATTTTCATAATTATAGTTAATTTTATCCCTAATTTATATCACCGTGGGATTTACAACATACAACAAAAATAACTACGTTTCCACTATGAAAACTCATAAGATATATTATATAATATTATAATGAGTTTGTTATATTTGAGAATTGAAAATAATGTAAGATGTATTGTAAAATGGTATTATTTCATTTGTGCTAGTAGTACAGTTAGTTACGTTTTTTTCTGGTTAATATATTTAAGGATTTATTACATCGTACGTTGATTTGGTAAAATGAAATGTAGCATTCACAGATTATGGTTAATTTACCCATGAATGACCTATGCAGCACGTATGGATTCTCACTTGTAATCGACCTGCCTGACGTCAATCCTCCAAGGGAAACAAATTCCCAGATCCGGAACAATTATCTGTGCGTCACACAAATATTTATCTCCTCACCTGTGTGGGAATCTAACCCGATACCGAAGCTTTAGCAACGGCGCCACCGAGTCATCTTGAGACTTGTATTCGTTTGTACTTTGGTGAAATGAGAACAGACAATTTACTACGTATTTATTTTAAAGTTAATATTTTTTTTTACGAAATTTATTGACTTTGTGTAGTTTGAATTGCGCGCAGAGGTTTATTCAACGATCATTATCTATATCCTAGTCAATGCAATCTCAAGATATAAGTTTAAATGTTGATAAAGGTTGCTCTTACGACGAAGTGTGCTGTTAAGGCCACTTAATTTTTTTTTGTAAACAACACATTGTTACGATGGTGTTGTTTATAAAGATATAATAACAGCAGTAAAAGAAAAGCTTAAAACGTTAGTTGAGAATATTTTTGTAAGTACTAATTTAATTTAGTTAGTAATGTGTGTAGGATTTAAGAAACGAATAAAATTTAATAAATTTATTCGCTTTCATGCCTCTTAGTTATGGTTAAAATTTGAAATATTGGGAAGTTGGTCGAAACACTATTACAAAATTACCCGAACAGAAGTTCCCCGGAGGATGATGTTAAAACGTGTTAAACAATTATTAGAGAAAACTGGAAACAGTTTTTGTAGTGTTGCATGAACTAATTGTGTGAAACAAATTCAAGAATCAAAGACGGAAGCGAAATAAACTTAGGGTTATTTTTTCGTAGTGGATGGAAGAACATATTTTATAGTTTTGATATTTCCCGACTTCATTTTCTCACTATGATAAGAATATTAATAATTTCTTTCTTAGTTTATTGTCAAAATATCTATAATTGCAATAGGTGCGAATTGAACAAAACTAAATATAACTCTTATGAAAAATTTGAGTCACATTTGGAATTTGTACCTTTTTAATCATGGATTTAAACAGTCCACACTTCAGGTGTATAAAACAATTGAAGTGAATAGCCAAAATATTTACTATAACCATTTTTAAAATAATATAAAATATCATAAATCATATTTATAAATGTTATATATTATGCAGGTAGTTCTTTTTGAATGGAGTGAAGCAACACAAGGGTTGCTTCTCAGCGCATTCTACTATGGCTACGTTTTAACCCATATACCGGGTGGTATGTTAGCAGAACGATATGGTGGCAAATGGGTACTTGGTCTTGGTCTCCTTTCGACAGCAATTTGCACCTTTCTGACTCCAATGATGGTCAAAATGGGTGGGGCTACTGCCCTATTCATACTCCGAGTTGTTGAAGGCTTTGGGGAGGTAAGGAGGACAATTAATGTCCAATTATCTTAAAAATTAAGATATAATATTTCAAGAAATCGCTTCAAATAAAATTAGTGTATAGTAATTGTGATTTAATTTAACAGTGAACGAAATAAGATTCAAAGAAATTTTAAAGTAGATGGTTGTTAATACTGATTTGCGTCATACATGTCATCATTGATTCCATCTCTAGTCGCGAATATTATGTATTTTTATGAAAATTATTTACGGATATTTTCTTGGTTTATTTTAATTTTGAAACACCTGACTTTTCACATGCTTTACATCATTCGTCCTAACCGGCTGGACTGTCACTATAACTTCTGACCTTATTTCAGGGTCCAACGATGCCGGCATTAATGGCTATGGTGTCTAGGTGGTCTCCCAAAGAGGAACGAGCTCGTATGGGAGCCATTGTGTTTGGAGGTGCTCAGATCGGAAACATTGCGGGATCATATTTCTCCGGTTTGATTATGCATTCAGGGAGTTGGGAGAATGTATTCTACATGTTTGGAGGCATAGGACTTGCATGGTTTATTTTGTGGGTAGGTTCCAATGCGCTCTACCTTTATTTCTAATGAATTACAACACGCTGTAGCTCGGTTCGAAGAGCTGCATGCATATTTCAATGACAAATAGAGTAGAGTAAAGAAATAAATAAGCATTTGGAAGCGTATTCAGCCTTGCCTTTAGGACAACCATATACAACGTGAACTGCAACGAGTTCTTTTGGTTTTATTTTGCTGATTTAAAAAATGCTAGAGACGTACGTTGTTCCCCTGAAATTTCTTTGCAAGATTATATACATGTTAAGTAAATTGTTTTTCCAGACGGTGCTTTGCTACAGTACACCGAATACTCATCCGTATATTTCTGACAGCGAAAAGAAGTTTTTGAACGAGAACGTTGATTCATTGATACACAGCAAAAAACAGACTCTGGATCCAGTGCCTTGGAAGGCATTGCTTAGATCAGTCCCACTATGGTGCCTTATTATTGCCGCAGTAAGGAAATACATATTTGTTTTTTAGAAAAGGCTGAAGCTGTGTGTTACCAACAAATATTTCAATTTCATCTGATACGGAACTTAGTACACATAAAAACATATTGCTCTTTGGCAACAAGCCATACCTGTTATACTGAAGGTCTCGGTCATTTAATCAAGTGTGATGCTATTTTACGAAAGCACTGGGGATTTTTGACACTACCATTGAATGAATTTGATACCTTTGTAATAAAAATTTGAATGCATTCAAATGAATAAATTATCCACATTGAAATATATTAACATATAATGTTTTCTGTGTCAATTTTTTATTGTTAGGATTATTACATTCTGTCTTATCATCTTTTAATTGTAAACGTAGTTTACTGAATAATAATAAAGTTTCATTGCGATCCATTCCGTGTTCAGCAATTTGGATTGAATTGAGGCCGAATGAGAAGGATTTGGATATTCAACGGACATAAAACCAGTACTATATTTAACCAGCTTCACTCGAATTCTTTGTTCTTGATTAACCATAAACTAACTGAAGGGTTTTAATAGGATAACGCAACAGCTGCGATTGTCTTATGAATGGGCAGGTCCATCTGGGGAAGTACCACTATTCACAGAAGATCGACGTGAAGTGTAAGTGTTATACTTCTGCGTTTCGTCTGGTGAGTGAGCTAGCCGGGGCCCACTTTAGTATAAGGTGGCAAAGCATCTGAAACCCTACGGGTTTTGATAATGTCCATAGGCAGCAGTTATCACTTAACATCAGGTGAACCGCCAGCTCACTTGCCACGTTCTCACATAAAAAAAATACCTATTATCGATTTTTTATTGTAATACGAACGTTTTACTTTGTGTTCTCTAACAGATCGGTCACGACTGGGGCTACTTTACAATGGTCACAGATTTACCTAAATACATGACCGACGTTCTTAAGTTCAACATTAAGTCCGCCGGTCTGCTGTCTGCGATTCCATATGTAGCGATGTGGATTGCCTCTTTCTTCTTCGGACTTCTGTGTGACTTCTGCGTGAAGAATCGCTATCACAGCATAAAAAATGCTCGAAAAATTTATACAACAATTGGTGAGTAGCTTTCAAGAAAAATGGCTATCGATCAAGAATTCTAAACGGCTCAAAGACATTTATCCCGTCACCTTAATTAACACTATCTTAATTAGATATTTCATAATTTTAAAATAATATTCTAAGCCAATAAACACTCTTGAAGCAAATTATCTAAATGAATCTTTAAAAATATAATAATTAAAAATAATTGATTTGACCCATAATTGCGAAGTAAAATTAAATTACCGTCTGTTTTGCAGCTGCCACGGGACCGGGAATTTGCATCATTATGGCTTCCTATTCCGGTTGCGACACCACTTTGGCAGTCTTCTGGTTTATTTTCGCGATGACGCTTATGGGTGCATACTACAGTGGCATGAAAATCAATGCTCTAGACATTACACCCAATTACGCTGGTACCACTACCGCTATGGTGAACGGTATTGCTGCCATCTCAGGCATCATATCGCCGTACTTGATAGGCTTACTAACGCCACAAGTAAGTAAGATCTTATACAATAGAAGTTCAAAGGATAAATTTTCAGCGTTATCTGGATTCACAAAAGCAGGTTATCACTAAAATAAAAAAATCCTGAATGATCTTATTCTTTAGATATCACTCACACGTGGTCGGGCCACGCAACAGTATTCGCTGTTGCACGAATGGGCAGGTAAGGTCGGGTTAGTACCACGAACTCACAGAAGACCGGCGTGAAGTAGTTACACTTCTGGTGAGTAAGGTAGCCGGGGCCCTTTAAAACTTTTAAAAGGTGACACTTTATTAAAAGGTGGCAAAAAGTGGTAATCTTACGGGTGTGGCAAATGTTCATGGGCGACGGTTATTACTTAACATGTGGCGAACCGCCTGCCGGTTTGCCACTTTGTAACATAAAAAAAATATCTTAAGATTCCTTTGAGCCATTGCATACAATTACAGACATTACTTTTAGTGTAGTTTTTAATCATGAATCTATTTATTTTTTTGGAAACGTGAGCGAACGCATCTTTTAATTAAAAGTTATTTAATGTATATGTGATAATATTATATAATAATTTTGATTGTACGTAATACATTTAATTCGCAATTAATTGATAAATAAAAACTCAATGATTCAATGCTTCTTTTATGTTTAATTTAGCTATCAATTTGAATGTTTAAATGTGAAACAGTTTACTGTTTTGTACCGTTTTTGTACTTTGGCTTACAATTTCCTCCTTTTTTCAGTCAACCCTGAAGCAGTGGCGCGTTGCATTCTGGGTCTGCTTAGCAGTTTTAGTGATAACAAACATTGTGTATATAATATTTGCCAAAGGCGAACAGCTATGGTGGGATGATGTTCAGAAACACGGATACCCGGCCGACTGGAAGCATGGTCCATTACCAACGAAATCCAAAGACACAGAAGATTCAAAGAATACCGAACGTACTGAGAAACAATGATATTTTTCTATGTTTAAAATAATATTTTTTTAAATAGATGACACGTGCAATTTTTTGCCACAATACTGTGATCTGTGTGTTTATACTTACCAAATGGTAATATGATAATAAGGAAATAAATATTTATCTAAAAACAATTGTTTTGAAAAGTAGTGGTAAATATCATCCCTAAGATTATATTGATTTACTTCACTCTTTTTCATCCAAAAAATTGTCTACAAATATTTTTTAACGAAAACATTAACTCTTCTCTATTCGTCTATTTTTTGTCAATACCGGCTTAAAAATTATGTCTCAATAATTTATTTTAATTAAAAAACACCTTAGTATTAAATGTACAATAAAACATTCACAGCCATTTTTTATATATTATAAATACACAATACCGATACATGTAAATAAGATAAGTAAAAAAGAAACTTTAATTAAATAAAATAATTACAAGAGTTAATTCCATAAGTAAAAACGAGTTCATTTACTATCTGTCTATAATAGATTTATTTATCTATAGTGTCAAAAGTCTTTCATCAACGCGAGTCTTAAGTTAGTTTCGACAACGATCCACGGTTTAATCAGGAATTTAGAAGATACTATAGTATACTATACTATACTATGCTATCAGCTGACAGCTGACACATCGGATGTAAATGCTGGCATATTTCATATTTTATAAGAGCCACGTGAGTCGATTTACCTCAACAAGGGGAAAGTATCTTATTGAAAACTTGATTGATAAACTTATTAAACTTCTGTTAATCTCGCTTTACCTAATGTTAGCAAGTGTCTGTGCTTGCTGCTTTGTTGTCAATAATTGGTTTCTTTATCACTTAAGTTATATTTTTTTCGAAAACAAATCACCTAAAGTCGATTTAAAAAATTATTATACCAAAGGTGAGGTTAGCAAACAAAGGCAAGGTTTCCTAGATAAAATTACTAATATTATTTGCTTATCTCCTTAAAACTATTTGTTAATATTATTCATTACCAAAATATGGTGAGCCTTATCTTTATCAGAAGGAAACGGAACAAGATAAATGCAGAAAGTCGTTCTTCAACCTTCAAACACATACTCATAGTTCGATATAAACCTTTAAATGAAAAGTAAAATGACGTTTCTAGGAATCAAGTTAAAGAGACATCGGATCCTGGTCGGAACTTCAAACTGAGCTATCCAAATGATCCATGATTTTAGACCTCACGTCTCCAACCGACAGCCTTGTGCGTTGCAGTTGATAAAAATTGATTTTTCACCAAGAGCAAAACTACTCTTACTACAATCAATTAGTTAGTTGGATTGTTCGAAAATGATTTCGAAATCGGTTTTCGGAAAACAAATATGATTAAATAGAATTATTTATTTATTGTTTTATTCAGTATTTTATTTTTTTATAATTAATCGTCGCCTGAGTAATGCCCTTGCATTGTCATTGCTCCACCCACTTAGGTTTCCTAACGATCACAACTGCTATAATTTAAACATCAAAATAATAAACTGACGTGAATACTTTAAAATATATGGTTCAGTGAAATGTTTTTCCTATTGGAAGATCGGACGATTTACTCTTTTACTATATCAGAAGAAAACATACATTAATATTGCTATAAGTAACATAACACAGCAACATAAGAAAGATTATCCTACAGTCTGCAACGTATGGTAGTATTGCGCAATATTTGCAATTTTTTTTTTATGTGAAAAGTTGTCAAACGAGCAGACGGTTCACCTGATGTTAAGTGAATACCGCCGCCCATGGACATCTGTTACACCCGAGGGTTCCAGATGCGTTGACAACCTTTAGGCTAATATGCTCAAAGCTATGTATTAGTATACGTGTAAAAATGTTAGTTCATGATCCATTTATTAAAATAACCTGCAATCCTGTTTGAGAGTTTGGGAAAATTCTTACTGATCACAACAACATAACAGCATGCATTTCCAAACAAAGACTAAAGTCATTAATTAATTTTATCTCTTCATTACTCGTTTTCAGAGCCACAGAATCATTCTTCTACTTTTCAAATTTTAATTGAATTTGAAAACAGTGGATTTCCACATGCTCACATTTTTTGCTGTTTACGGTGAACGTATTGCCGAATATTGTAACCTAAAATTATGCACGGAATAATAAATACAACCATAAATATAACCTTATCGTAAAATACATTCAAATATTCGTCGCTGTGGCAATGAGCCATTTAGTTTATTAGTAGTTAAAGTGTCTGAGCGCGATTCCAAAAGACGTGGGTTCTATTCCTACGCGGGAAAAAATTTTTTTGCATTTTTTTCTAGAATTTTTCCTTTCATCTTAAGTGTAAAGATTAGGAATATAAAATTTAAACTTCAGGAGTTATTAAACAGCCTTGTGTACTCATTATTGAAATTAAAATTGACAGTGAAATTAATTAAAAATCAAACGAAATAATAATGTCACCACTTTTACAAAAAAATAATCGTGAATCCGCCCCCAAAAAGCGACATGATGTAGTTGGTTGCAAAGCAACAAACGTTTCTTGGGGTCGGTGTACGCGTGCATCGTTAAAAATTTATTAATTTATAATTTTTTCCGAACGCGTCATAAGAAGTATAACTTCTAAATATTAAGATCATATTAACATTGGGAATGTATGGAATTGTATGAAATTAGGAAGCATGAATATACATAATGATTATTATCTGAGTGGTGTGCAGTGGTACCCGTGATACTTCAGTGTCCGGGCGCTCGCCTTTAATTCAATATACTCGAGCAACCTGAGTTCGATCCCCGGTGCCGGCACGAATGAAGTTTTTAACCGACCTCAAAAAGGAGGAGGTTTCTCAATTCGACTGAATATATTTTTTTTATGTGTGTTCGCAGATAACTTCGTCGTTTATAAACCAATTTTAATGATTCTTTTTTGTTGGGAAGGCGATAAAGCCACTATGTTATAGACCTAAGTAAACACCTTTTGTATTCCGAATATAGGTAATTACCGCTTGTTAGAATGCACCGCACACTTTGTAAAAATTCCTATGTATTTCTTTTGTAACTACCTTATATTTCATCAATTTTTATTATAATTAGTCCACTAGCTTCGCCAGTTCGGATTTTTTTGTTGTACATAATATAGTATTTGTATTTTCTCTGTAAGTGATTAGGTGTAAATCTTTTGAGAAAATAAATGTCTTAAACCTTATATTCCAACGGTGGTACCATGACAAGGAAACCCAGATCTAATGTTGGCATCCCAGAGAAATCGAGGGCAATGCTCAAATGTTATAGGTATTAATAATGTTTTTTAATTTCCGGTTTGAAGTCGTTTTTTTTTTTTGCTAAAATTATTAACTTTAAGTGCTGATTTATCACGTGCTCCGCGGTGAAGGGAAACATCGTAAGGAAACCTGCATATTTTCGAAATAATAACAAAAAAATATATATATTTTCAAGATATGTGGAATCCGCCAAACCGCAATGGGGCCGCGTGGTAGACTATGCCCTGATACCCTCTGTATAGAGGAGGCCTTTGCCCAGCAACTTGTTGATACTTTACTTTTTTTATTAACTGAGTGGACTTTGATAAATGGACAAATTTAATATAACGGTTTAGCAAATGCACCGAAGTTTTGAGAAAGGCCGTAGTATGTTCAGAATAAGCGCTGAAGGATTATATAAAACTTCGCCTTTTTTAGAGTAAAACATCTAAGACAATAAATAATTATTGGAACGTTACAAGAAAATAAGTATATGTAAATGTCGTTATTGTAGATATGTAGATGTCATTCTGGTACTCAAGTCACGGGCAATAACTTTAACGATAAACAAAACAGGTAACATCGCATGGAGGCTTAAACTGGGTATTTCTGTTTGCAATTTATGTAACATTGGATAAGACAAGGTGACTTAGCAGTATCGCTTGCATGAAGTGAAATATTTATCTATGGCTTATGGTTATGGCTTATGGTAAGAAAGTTGCACCTATGACTTGCAAATTGTAAAAAGTTACCGATCAGATACGATATAAGATAATGTTACGAACAGATTTATCAAGAAAACCCTAATGATGGTCGTCCAAATATTATGAAATATATTCACATACAAAGGTTGCTAAGAAGATTATTTATTTTACACTATTTGTACATTATCAAAAATTTTGCATTGTCGAAATGCAAAATTTTTTATAATTAGTTTTAACATATATATTTTTTTCTAGAAACGCAGAATTTTCCATCGGTGAATAATTATGTATTTGTATTGAGATATATATTTATTTGTATTTGTATTGAATATAAAACCATAGTGAAATTAAGTGAAAACCTGCAAAATATTTTTTTTTACTTTTAAATAAACTCGAGTCCCCGCTTGTCAGTATTAAAAAAGTGTTATTACAATTTCGTTTGGGATTTAAGAGGTACGTGTCTGTGTTACAGATATTAATAAGTCAGTTTTCATTTTAATTTTGTTCTTCATATTTTTGTGAATATAACTTGTGAGTATAATATAGCAATATAACTTTATAGTGTAGTCAATTGTTTTAGTTCTTATATAAAGTTCTCTTTGGGTAAAAGTGGATATTTTAAAGACCATTATTTATTTCTTTATTTATCATTATTTGATTATTCAGACTTACGAACGAAATACACACAAATATGTTTAATTATACAACATTATAAATATAAACACAATATTATAAAACAGATACTCTAATTTCTAGTAAACAGAAACTTATTTATTTATGAAAATATCTTTTATCTTTGAGAAAAACAGAAAAGAAATAAGAAATTCATTTGAAATATATAAACTAGAATTTAGCCCATTGTTAAAATAATATGATATTAAAAAGATTTGAAATGTATATGTTTTTTTTTATAACGTGTATAATATATAATTATTTACATCACATAGCTATAGTCGATTCAATCCGTAATTATTTCGACGATTTTACGTTTATACGTAAAAAGGTTAATAACTTTGTACTTTGCTCTTATTCTAAGAAGATAAATATTAATATTATGCTATCCTGTTTATTAGTAAAGAACTTGAGCAAGAAAGCTATGTTCAATAACTCCTTTCCTCACTCTGAGGAAATTATGTCAAAGTGTTCCAGTTTTATTTCGATAACATTTGCTAAATTAAGATAATTTTGATAATTATAATCCTCCTTTGTACCCTTTCTTTTCTTTGTTAAATAGGATACCACACACTAGAACAGTAATCAATATTGCTATGGACCAAAGAGAAATATAGGCTTTTTTATTAACTTAAATTTATTTGTGAAGTGATAGATTTAATTTCAAAAAAATAATGGCGACATCTCTCGGTCGAATTATCGTTGTAAAACAATAATAATTTGAAAGTGTGTTTTGTAAACGCCATAACACAAAAGATTGCTTATAATTTGAAAAAGCGATGTAGATAAAATACGTTTAGATGTCGTCGGTATGGCAATAATCTGTTTAGCTTAGTGGTTAAAGCGTCTGCGCGAGAATCTAGAAGAAGTGGGTTCGATTCCCACAGCATCGAAAAACTGTTCTCCCATTATTTCTACTAAAAGAATTTTAAATTTCAAGTCATTAAGTTGCTATTTGTAGATCATTTTGCAATAAAGCCATGTAGCTTATAAGCTGCCTAATGTATCGTTTTATATGGTCACACAATGTTTTAAATCCATATTTTAGCCAAAGTTGACAGTATGCTGGAATTATGAATTGGAGTGATACTTAAGTGCTTTTTTCCACAAACCCGGAAAAAAATCCTTGACAAATGAACGGTTGTAAATTATACAAAGAGGCGTTGATAATGTTTTGATGCACTTTTTAAAGAATATGGGAGATATTCCATCAAAACCGATGCCTTCCCCTTTTGCCTTTAGATTTCGAGAACCAAGATTTTCCACTTTGTCCAATTTATAAGGTGGAGTTTGCATACTAGAGGGTATGTTTTATACTGACTTAGAATTTTCAGCAAACAATTAGAACAAGTAGGCGCCATAAAACAACACGACATCGGTTTAATGTAAAGTAGTAATAATATTACTCTGGTAGGGCCACGCAGCAGCCTCGGATGTTGCTCGAATGGGCAGGCTCGTCCAGGTAAGTACCACGACCTCGCAGAAGATCGGCGTAAAGTGGAAGTATAATACTTTCGCGTTTCGTCTGGTGAGTGAGGTGGCTGGAGCCCAATTTTCAATTTTCAAAAGGTTGTCAACGCATCTGGAACCCTCGGGTGTAGCAGATGTCCATGGTCTGCGGTATTCACTTAACATCAGGTGAACCGTTTGCTCGCTTGGCAACTTTTCACATAAAAAAGGTACTTACTAATTGTAATACGTTTCGATACGAATGTTATTAAAAAAAAAACCGGCAAGTGCGAGTCGGACTCGCACACGAAGGGTTCCGTACCATTATCCATAAAAAACGGCAAAAAAATAATGTCTTTGTATGGGGGCCCCACTTAAATATTTTTAGTGTTTTTGTTATAGTGGCAAAAGAAATACATTATCTGTGAAAATTTCAAATGTCTATCAAAGTTAGTAATAGGATTCCTTGTTACCCTTTGGTTACGGAACCCTAAACACGGTATCGTTAAAGTTATATATGTGTTAACACTGACACTAAATACTTTCGACTTTCGACTAGTTGCCGACTAGGGAACTTTGAATGTCTCTCTTAATACGATAGATGATATATTTTATCGCTTACGCAATAAGAGATTGCGATCTCTTTTCTATCTCGAAATGGGTTACGTTTAGTATCAGTGCTCTTGTTGGTGGATTGTTACAGCTCTCGCGTCACTAATCCACGATAGGATATCTCCGGTATTTTTTGTGTGCAGTTTCAATAAATGTACTATTGCGGTATTGAGGTGCTGGCGTGCAGATCGATTAATTAATTATATTAAATGACGTTGAAAGGATGGAGGCTATTTCTGAACAAGGGTATGCTTTATTATTATTAAGTATTTTCAAATTATTTTTTCTTGTTATTAAAACATTGCACTTACTTTAGGATAACATTATCCTGTATTGTAAGGACGTTTTTACAAACATAATTTGCGTTGATTGAGTTTTGAGTGTTTGTCCACATTTCATGTGGACAAACACTCAGTTGCGAAACTACCTGTGGGTCACACAAATAACAAATAACTGTCCCGTGTGGGAATCGAACCCACGACCTGGGCGCCAAAGCCAATACCTTGGCAACTGCGTCACGGAGTCATCATATATCATGTATCATCAACTATGTTTCATATACACACATCAGGATTAAACGTTTAGTTTTGGGTGTCAGCTAATTGGGTCTGGGCATTGCCCGATATTTAAGCCCGATCCATTGATCGGCTTTACTATCGGAATGTAACAGTTTATTTATATTAAGTTTTGTTAATCAACATCGCTTAAAACTTTTTTATTCAGGAATATATACAGTAAATACACCATAAAATATACAGTAAATTTTTGCAGCATGCCGATACAAGGAATTAAAGACGATAAAAAATTATAAATAAATGCTACATAATGCGTTAAACAGTTAAACTTTAACAGGGCGTACTACATGGGACTCTTTTACACAACAGTTAAATACCGTAAATATCGATCGCGTATCGTATTTTTTAAAGAGCGGTCTAAAGTTTGCGTTAATTTTGAAATCTTTCCAGCTATGTTCATGCCACAGCGATATGTTTTGGGTGTCATGGGGCTATTCGCCTTGGCAAACTCGTTCACCATGCGAGTGTGCCTCAGTATGACCATAACGCAAATGGTGCTACACCCGGAGTCGTCCGAGCACATAGTCGGCGAGATATGTCCGGATAACGATGGCCCTGCGACTGAAGAAGGAAATAGCACACTAGTTTTTGAGGTAAACTACTCATTGGATTGGGACAATTTAACTTGCCACGAGTACAGGCACACACTGGTTGAATCAAATTATAATAATGGTGGAATATTTATCTGCATAAACTGATGCTTGTAATAACTAGAAAGTGTTTTTCGTATGGGCCCCGGTAATGTTGCACGATTCTGTACTTATTACTATTTCATGGTCATGAACATTCTGTGTTCAAACGCTGTAAAAGGTTGAAAACGTCGGGAAAAAAAATTAAAAATAAACGCAATAAATCCGTAAACATATTTTCATGTAGTAATTGTAATCACGTAATCTGCATGTAGATGCTGTGTTATTACTATCAAACTTATTCAGCTAAATATTTTATTTGAAATGTTAATCAAACGTTTTAACTTCTTGCTTTTGATGAAGCGATAAAGTATCTTTACGACGTAATAAAGTTAGGAGGAGTACTTTGTTTGTCACGACATTGTAAAAAAATTCGCTACTCGCTCTGTTTTGTCTCTAGAGATTTAAAATGTGATGTAAAGCATATTAGGTCTTACGAATTGACGAAGTTTTTCTTATAAAGATAATGAATATAATTTTATGCTTATTGCGTGAGTAGTAAAATGAAAAAAAAAAAAAAAAAAAAATAAACTTGTTACACGTCCTATCACTACATAATTAGACATTAAATATATTTGTGACAGAATATACAGCAGGGAAAATTGATGACATCGTTGTAAACATTAGTCATTATATGGATACATGTCATCTTTGCCAATTGAACAAAATTTACTTTTATATAAAATTAGGGGACAGCTAGGATATAATGTTCTGATCACAGGGCATCAGATTAGAAATTCTAAAAAAATGTATATTAAAAATTGAAGACAGCAGCAACGCGAATCTATTTAATGTTTATGCTTTGAAAATTGCATCATCTGTATGCTCTATAGTATTCCGTATTTTTATATTTTAATAATATTAACCGAATAATCTACCTTAACATACTTTTTTATACTAGCCCGGTGCTTTTCCAAATATTGGTGCACTCGAATTTTAGGATGCTTATCCAAATATCGGTCGTGGTGGACATGTGATAAGTTGAAAACAAATGTGCCGGTGCCGGTTTTCTGTGAGGCTATGATTCTTCACCGGACAATATGACCCATTTGCACAACAGGTCAGGTCGCGAATGCCGTAGACGTGGGTTCGATTCCCACAGCGGCGACAACCTTTTCGTACTTTTTATACAAATTTTAACAGAAGAATCTGTTGAATGGCCCTACCATATAGTTTATTGTTTTAACAGGGTCGAGATCGCTACGATTGGGATGAAGCTACGCAAGGTTTACTGCTAAGTGCCTTTTACTACGGCTACGTTATAACGCATTTGCCAGGAGGTTTATTGGCTGAGAAGTTCGGTGGGAAATGGACTCTTGGCTTAGGCCTTTTGTGCACTTCAATAGCGACTGCTTTAACGCCTTTAGTAGTAAGCCTTTGGGGAGCGGTTGGGCTGTTTGTCATTCGGGTCGTGGAGGGTTTTGGTGAGGTAATATTTTATTGAATGCTGCCCTTAGTCGCTGCTTACTTAGCTGGCCAAGTCAATGGTTTTAGAAAGGAGAAAAGTAATAATATAAATTATTTCACCCAGTGTTAGTACAAAGAGGAAAACTATTTAAATGAATTAAGTATGAATAAAATTGCTTAATAACAGTAGATTTAACCGGTGCCGTAAAGTTTGCAGTCTTACTGAGGTTATGCTTAAAGAGCCCAAGGCGTAAAACGAAAACACTAAAATATTCTAAAATAAATCTCAACTCAGATTTTGCTTATAACAAGTTTTTAAATAAATCTTCATGATTTTTTACCGTATAAAACTATTTTAGGGACCGGTGACACCAGCTTTCGTGCTGTTGTTGGCTAGATGGATTCCACCGTCTGAGAGGTCCCGTTTTGGTGCCATGATATTTGGAGGAGCCCAGATCGGGAACATACTCGGCCCATACTTATCTGGTTTGCTTTTAGCGGATGGAGGCGATTGGGCTAACGTATTTTACGTCTTCGGTGGATTGGGAATTATTTGGTTTATATTTTGGGTCAGTATTTTGATAAATCCTAAATACTTATATATTGTAAATGAAATTTGTATTGAGGTGTAGCTTTTTTCTGCATTCTGAAAAGATAAGTATAATAAAACAGACAAGATAACACGGTGATAGCTCAGTGTCCGGGCGTTCGTTTTTGATTCAATATAATCGAACAATTCTGGATTCAAATCCCAGTGCCAATGAAATTGTTAAATGTAGTTTTTTATATGGTGTTATTTTACTTTTTCTGGGGATTGGCTGATAAATATATATACAGATAGAACGTCCAAAAACACATTAAATTTCCTGTTGCGCTGCATAAATTTTATATTTAAAATAAATTATAACAATATTACATTTCTAACAGTTTCATAATTCCGGAATGTTATAAAGATTGCTCCTAAAAATCTTATTTAGCACTGAGAAAATAATTTCACTATTACCAATGATATTATATACAAATACGATGTAGATGTGACACTAGCGCTACGCAACTGAGGCACTCAAGTTACGCCAATTGGTCTCTGTCACATTCACTTTATATGTCATATAATGTAAAGCGAAACATTTTTTGAATGCCGCGCAGTATGGACATGCATCATTTTTATTAAAACATCATTGACTCTAACAATTAAAGCTAAAAGCTAAAACCATAGAATTTCTATAACACTCATACTGTAAAATAAAATGATATTCACCTAAATAAGTTACACCGAACAGTGTAAGGTTTCTCGTTCAGCTGCATTAAATATATTAAAATGTTTCCACAAATATACGGAAAAGTTTTACCGTCTGAAAATTTTCCAGGTTGTTTTATGCTACAGCACTCCTAATTCCCATCCTTTCATTTCGGACGAGGAGAGGGATTATTTGAACAATAATGTGGCAGCATCCGGCTTGCACAAGAAATTGGATCCAGTCCCGTTTAAAGCTGTGATAAGATCTGCTCCACTTTGGGTTCTCGTAATGGCCGCTGTAAGTTATACCTACTCACTAGAAAATATTAAGTTTGTAATCTCCTTAGCTCTATACATATATATATATATTATTTTGAAAAAAAATTAAGAAAATTATAAAAAAATGATTATAATTTATAAATGACATAAGTCTGTGCCGCAGTTGCTAAGCTATTGACTTCGGCACTGGGGATCATGGGTTCGATTCGGCCACACCGGGCAAGTACTCGTATTTATCCGACCCACAGATAATTATTCCGGATCTGAGCGTTTTCCAAAGAGTTTTTTCCTAATACGTTGACGTCGTTGACGTCAGGCAGGCGGCCGGTCTTTTTAAAAACGTCTGTAATCTAAATACAAATAAAACTTGATGTGCTGGGTCAAGCTAGGTAGGATAAAGGCTGGAGGATGATGATGTTTATTTGATTTATATACAGAAAATAAATAACGTTCATACTATCAATGTCAAACATATTCCGTTAACAATAAGTTGCATAGAGTAATGATTGTAGCTAAACAATTTTAATATATCAGATTTATTGAATGGGTCTCAGAAAAATAATATTATATTAGATTTAAAATTTGATGAATTTGGAACCATGGGTTTTTTTGGGTTTTTGTATTATATTTTTATACTTACAAATAATGATTAAGTCAATTAACTTGTACACAGATTGGCCACGACTGGGGTTATTTTACGATGATCACAGATCTGCCGAAATATTTCTCCGATGTCCTCAAATTCAACATTAAAGAGACCGGTTTGATGTCAGCTCTTCCATACATCGCGATGTACATATTCTCCTTTATATTTGCTGCGTTATGCGATCTGTGCATTAGGAGGAAATGGCATAGCATTGGAACTGGGAGGAAGATTTACACGACTATCTGTAAGTGGCAATGCACCATTATCGATTTTATCTAACTCGAGTTGAAGCTTTTCTTCACCTTCGCGCACATATAAAGCTAAAAAGCAGTCTGTATACAATTTCATTTTTACATATATTATTGGGAAATTTTCATCGTGACTCTAAACATTGTTTGCATTTCCGTGTTGCTAAGGAAACAATTTTACCCTCGACAGCCTCTTCCGTGCCCGCGCTTTTTATAATACTGGCCTCGTACTCCGGATGCAACCGCGCGCAGGCGGTCGGCTTTTTCATAGCGTCCATGGCGTTCATGGGTGGCTTCTACAGCAGCGTGAAGATAAACGCCATGGACATTGCGCCTAACTACGCTGGCACTTGCGCCGCGTTCGTTAACGGCATCGCCGCAATTGCCGGAATAATCACGCCGTATTTGGTTGGCTTGCTGACGCCAGACGTGAGTGCGCAGTCGATCTTTTACTTGATTTTTATTAAGTTTTTTTTATGTGAAAAGTTAGCGAGCGAACAGGTGGCTTATCTGATCTTTAGCTTTTACCCCAGCCCAAGGCAACGAACGGTTTGCATCTGTAGCGTACTTGTTTAAGTTGCTTTGCCAACCGAAACAAAACGCAAAAGTATAATACTCTCATTTCACGCCGGTCTTCTGTAAGGCCGTGGTACTTCTCCGGACGAGCCCGGCGAGTCGTGCAATTCAAGCTGAAGCTTCTGAGTGGCTTGCAGTGAACACTAGCCACAAATTTTACTGTGATAGTGCGGCAACGGTTTGGTTATAGCTCCAGCTGCGCAACAGGCAAAACACGGAATATATTGGAGCCAGAAATACAGAAGCACAGAAGTTAACTTCTTGCTCACGGAAGATTAATGGATCCGGCGTAACGAAATGGCTCGATCTGTCTACACGCAGCAAGAAGTAGTTCGCCTCATCGGCGAGAAGTCAAGAGTATTTATTTACGCTATTGCTTTCTGTCTGGGTGAGGCAATGACTTTAGTACATAACTGATGTTATGGTGCCCATGTTGCCGCAGCCCTTAGGTATAATCTGGCGCTGAGTTGGTGGTTTGCTGAGTAGCTATAACTGTGTAACAAAATAAAAACTGCGAACGGTTTATATCCCTCATTACTTCTGACTCTCCACTATACTACTCTGGTTGGCAGATACATTACAGAGGCATCACAGCTATAATTTACGTTTCCTCGAGTTTATTTAGTCCCAAACAAGTGCTGCTGACTTTACGCACATCAGACTCAAAGAAGGCGTGGATTTTTGTACTAAAGCAATACTGGAAGTACGAAATTCATTGATGCAGGTCAATCAAATCTAGGAATGTTAAACTTTTCAACTTCCAAGTACCACTTGCCCATGATTTGAATGAATCAAAATTAATTGTTATCAACAAAATGAATTCTCAATTAATTAAAGATTGCCTGGATTATAACTTTATTACAATCATCATTCAAAAACGTTATTAACCGAGACAAAAGGAGGACTTTTTTTGCGCATCTACCCACAATCTGTTACGGCCAAGGACGTTAATCTACGGTTGAGCGACCTAACTTCGGTCAAAGGTGAAAATGAAATAAGTCAACCTTACAGGATTCCGTTTCAACGGCGTTGTGTTTTTTGTACATGTTGAGGAGTTAATCTAATCATTTTCTTGTTTTGGCGCCTGTCATAAGTATGCAGCAATTACATTTGGAGTGAATTTGCTACATATTTTTATTTCAGTTTTCATAATACTTGTTTTATTTAATTATAAGAACCGGCTCCGCACGGATGTCACTAATTATCAAAAAAAGAAAGAAAAAAACTGGTAACACTAATTATCTTTAGTTTTGATTTTTAACAAGCTTACTTAGCAACTTATTAGTCGTAACACCAATATTATATCTAAAGCCTAACTGAACTTTTCTATAAATTTTAACAAATTCATTGTGATATATGGCTGAAAGCTGGCTGTATTTATGGTTTATACAGTTATACCTACATCATGTTTATATTGTATCTCAACCTTGACATTCTGTGGTTAGTAAAATATAATTACAACTAAATGTACATCTAATTAAGAGGCAAACACAGCATGCTTAAAAATTAAAAGAAAAAAAATAATAATAAAAAAATAAAAAATAATAATAAAGACAGTAGTAGTGTTTTTGACACTATGTAAGTGTAATACTTCTATATTGAATAAAGATAATAAAACATGATTTTTTTTAATGTGATAGAGTGGCAAACGAGCTGGCGGTTCACCTGATGTTAAGTAATAACCGCCGCCCATGGACATTTGTAACACCTGCAGGGTTGCAATGAGTTGCCATCTTTAAGACATTGGCTCATTAAATATCGGTCAACAAACCAAAGATGGGATGATTTATGTCCGAAGCTATGGGAGACCAGACTTATTTGTCACTTTTACGTGTAACTCCGAATGTCCCGTAATTAAAGCGGAACCATTATCTGGTCAGCGGTCTTTCGATCTTCATGACGTAATTTCAAGGGTATTTCATTAAAAGATGAAGAAATTCATAAAATTATTCACCAAAGACGAAATATTCGGAATATTTTTTGTGTATGATAATTTTTAGTTTTAAAAATTTTGTTAAATACCCGTGCGAAGCCGGGGCGGGCCGCTAGAATGTAATAAAGAACTTAAAAATTTTTGCATTTATTTTGCCTTCACTGTAAAAACCTTACAGGATAGGCACAGTACTTTTAAACATAAAAAAAACGGAAGTGTTAATAGCATTAAAACAATATAATCAAGTATTAAAATAAGATCATACAAAACTTTAAATACTTTTTTTTAATTTTATTAAATAATAAGATTTGTCAGTTAGACTTATTTCAGGTTTAATTTAGAATTTTATTCCCGCATTTTGAACATCATACAGTAGACATTGGTAGACACAGAGAAGTATGTATATGTCCATAGCAGCATTTATCGTTGCATGAATGGATGGCGTAAGGTAGAAATTTACAACCCCAAAGTTTTACAAGAGCTGGCAACTTAATTTTTTATAGTGCTAATATCTGTACTTAAGATGAAACATTAAAATTTGTGTAGGATCTTTGTATAACGATATTCGAAATTCTTTGTATGCTTTAAAGTATAATATAATAATAGGTGCGTCAAGTATAGCATGAAATGCGAAAAACAATGCGTGGAAACAATGTCTGGATGCGAATCTATAAGACGTGGGTACATTTCCGCAGCGGCGAACAAGTTTTAGTACTTTTTCTACAAACAACGTTACTACAAACTCTAAGCTGTTACGGACGTGTGTTATAGTAATCAACATTAGTTGAAACGTCAGCTTGTTTCCCATCTTCGAGAATTAAACGTATTATAAGTGTCGCCTCATATTTCAGCAAACAGTGGAGCAATGGCGCATAGCTTTCTGGACTGTTTTCGTTGTGCTCGTCGGCACGAACATAGTCTACATAATCTGGGGCTCAGGGGAGCAGCAGTGGTGGGACGATGTGGAAAGGCACGGCTACCCACCTGGTTGGAAGCATGGTCCTCTGAAGAAAAGGCAGCAGGAGAAGAAAATCGTGTATCCGAAACACGACCATTCGCCGATATCTAACGACTGATTTCTTATTTAACTCGGTAGATTGATGTAATAATAAAATTTTACTTAATACGGTTGTCACTTCTTTTATTTTGTGGCTCATTTTATACATTCCATAATTAGTGTACCTACTTTTAAAATACTATTTATAATAAAGAGTATTTAAAAATACTGTTTACAAAAAAGATAATATGTAATTTGCCAGTTAGCGAGTTACGTGGTAGCTTAGACATTTGATTGAAGTATAATTTGTTTCTAATTTCTCTTTTGGTTTTGTCGGATAACATACATGCAAAACATTTGTATTGTATTTATGTCCATACAAAGTGATAAGGTTCCATACTAGCCAATGAGACTAAATAAGCTGGATGAAACGTGGAATACTCTGGCGATTAACGATAGAGTGATTATTACAGCTATGTTTGTTCAACACAATAACGTTGTACTATTACAAATCAGTGAATGTTTTCCACGCATTTAGAACTCGGTACTGTTATTTATAAAAAAAAAAATATATGCATGAAATCATTTGCATTCCTTTTATGATTATGTAATATGTTTTATGAAATAAGTTTTCAGTTACGCCAGACATTTATATAACACCTTACTGTGTGACGACAAATATTCAGGTCAACATAAAAAAATATAGAAATAAAAAAATGTACGGTTTCAATACAGCACCGCTATATTTATCAATATTGACTTAAAGGGCATAGAACTATTCATAGTTTGCACGAGTGATTAAGTTCTAATAATTTTTTTTATGTGTAAACTTGCCAAGCGAGCAGACGGTTCACCTGATATTAAGTGAATACCGCCGCCCATGGACATCTGCTACACTCGAGGGTTCGAGATGCGTTGAGTACCTTTTGAAAATTGGGCTCCGGCCACCTCACTTACCAGACGAGACGCGAAAGTATTATACTTCCACTTTACGCCGGTCTTCTGTGAGGTCGTGGTACTTACCCGGACGAGCCTGCCTATTCGTACCACAGCCGAGGCTGCTGCGTGGCTTCACCACTGTGAAAGTTAAAATGTTAAATAAGTAAATAATGTATAGAGTTCACATAAATAGGAAATTAAGCATCGGTATAGCTACTCCTGTTATTAAATGTTCAAGGACTGTTAAATCTTTATAGAATATATAATATCATTTTGATCAATACAATAAAAAATATAATAAACCCATCAGTTGATTCGGTTTCAAATTGCAAACTCTTGTTATTGTGAACAGTTAGTGATATTAAGAATTAGAAATTGACATCGTTGTTGAGCTGTAAACTAATTAAACTAAACTTTGCACGAGCGTGGGTTTAATGGAAAAAAGTTGGAATTGTTTTCATAAACACGATAGCGTGAGATTTCTCGAACAAGCCACAAATATTTTTAAAGAAGATGTAACAAATATTTTACTTGTTTGATTGTGAAAAAAAAAAAATAGTTAATTCAAAGCACCAGCAATATTGCCGGCTTCCGATTGTCTCATCTCAATAACGTGGCACCACGGTTATTTGACTAAGATTTTTATTTTTTCTAGATTTTGTTATTTAACCTTAAGCCATAAACAGCAAAATTCAGTCCCTTAAATTTGGGCAGATGGGCACAGTAAATAAGCCGCCTACAAAAGTAAAACACTGTAACCACGAACTTGAGTTACCGTTATATTGTTTTACATAATTTTTCCAATGTAAAACGGGAATTAGCTATCGGTGTAGCAATAAAAAAACCTATTCTACGTTATCATGAATTTTTACTTTTAATATTGATAGAATAATTACCAGGAATTTTTTTATTCCAATGTAATTTTTATCCTAAATCGTGTCGAATCGGTACAGTTTTTTCCCCACAATATTGCTGAGAATGTTTTGAATAATTGATAGGCACATTTTGCACGAGTTTTACCAGAAGTAACATTAAAATTAATTAGCATATTATCAAATTTTTCGATTCATACACACATATCTATACGCTAGGTTTGATTTTAAGTGCCAATTAGTCACTGGTACGACTGCACAGATATGGAGTATTTGATCAATAATTTTAGCGTTAAAGGAGGTGAAGGGAGTCGAACTATGGAGTGTTGTATTGGCTCGACGTAGAAGTATGCAGAGTATTCTTTGTCGAGATTCTCGTAGGGTACAAATTGTGTTGAAGCCGCATTCTAGTATAGGGCTACGCCGCAGCTTCTACTGTTAGCCGAAGGGGCAGGCTCATTCCGGGGCAATGCCACGGCCACACGATAGACCGTTTTGAAGTAAAGGTTTTATACTTTTGCATTTCCGATGATGAGTGAGGTAACCGGCACAAAATTTTTAAATGGCGTTTAAAAATTTTGTGCCGGTTTTTATCTGGCGTTGCAGATGTTCATGGGCGGCGTTAATCATTCATAAGCCGCCGGCTGGCTTGTACACTTTTCACATAAGAAAAACTTTCAGTCTTAGTTCAGTGCAATTTTTCGAATTTAATCGTAAATGTCAATGTTCCAAAGTGCGGTCGCTGACCGCCTAGTTATCACGATTGGGAGTACATAAGATCGATTAAATAAGTCTTATGTATGCTATGACGTTAGGCTAAAATAACGAAAGGGCTTGCATGTAAAGTAACTTGCAACAAAAGCTCTTCATTGTTAGGTAGTTACCTATATCTACAATGCAATTTTGCATAATTCCTAACAACATTAAGTTTAACGTTGTGAGAAATTGCAAAATTGCATTGTTAAACGAAGTTAAGAAAAAGTTTTTCATAAATCATAGAATTCTATTGAGAAAATAAACAGGAACCTATATGTCAACATTTAGACACCGACACCAATCCAGTCTTGCGAAAACAGCATTAAATTAAAGGCCGTGATCAATCGTTGAGGTTAATTATATTCTAATCTTAAGCTAAAGAATTAGCAATTGCGGAGGACAAGGGAGAAAATAAATGTTCATTCTCAACCAGTAATATTTAAAAATGTTAAAAGATAATTAATGAAAATATCTAAGGCATAATGCAAAGCATCATTAACCCACTTCACTATCACACGAGAGCGCTTTCTTATTATCAGTAAAAGATTCTACGTTTCTTAACGTTTCAATAACGATCTATTGAACACTAATAAAATACATAATTGTATACGTTAAAAATAAAATACGAATTAAAACCAATATGACATTAATGAATATGACGAAAAGCAGCTAAAATATCTGACAGAGTGTAAGAACCGCGCAAGAGCCTGTGGCAAGTTATGGCGGGAATGTATCCGCGTATCCGAGGCAGCGCGCGCGCAACTCCGCGGACAGTCTAGCGTCAGCCGTTCTGAGGACGCTTGTTTTGAGACGCACGTCGTTTGTGACATATGTTAGTCGAATGGGCAATCGTCAGTGCATACAGGACGAACAAAGCAAAAGTAATCGCACGAAGATCTGTGAGTATTTAATTTATAATGCACAATAAACCAGTATCAATTCCTCGTTATTTGAATTGTGCGTTGTTTTTGGTACTCTATATGCTAAAAAGTACGTTATTGGACGCTTTAATATTAATGTTTATTGATACGATTTAAATCCAATATGTGTTATTATAATGCATTCAATTACTTACATATAATTTTAAGTACATTTAATCATATATATTCTTGGTTTTTTACAATATTTTGTGGAATAATATTTTACATTTCTCTACAAAACTTTTGTTCTTTACATCAATGCGCTATTTATTTTTATAAAATGAAGCATGGCTGTATTTTAAAATAAAAAAGGTTTTGGTTGTATATTTTGTCATTCTTACTAAAATAATGTATCTTTGCAGCTGTATGTTAATAAACTCTTATCCGTGTGATCTTATTGTAGTTGTTAGAATATTTTAAAATATTATTATACTTCCTTGTGAAGTATAAATATGAACGGAATGCTATGCAATCGAGATCTTTTCCGCTATTTTATGTAATCAAATCGATTTCACGTTAAACGGTCGCTTCGGTTCTGCACCAGATTATAGTTTTGATTGTGTCGTAATAACTTTAAGTCTCTTGTTGAGCACGCGAAAGTACTGCATAATAAAATCTGATAATCCCCCCTCTCGGTGTAGAGATAAATTCAAGATTTTAATTTAATTGCTATCTTAGTTGTTGTGACGTATAGTGGAGTAGTTACTGTAAAATTTTAAGTCTTTCGTTTGGTTGTCTACTGCAAGTGCAACTGAAATTCTCGTTCTTAAACGGGCTTAATTGTACATATTATGTTTTTAAAAGAGGAACATTCCGATTTGAACGATTTCATCTATATATTATTATATAACTATAGGCATATCTGTTCGTCCGTCTTAATAAGTAAATAGTAATCTAATGTAAGAAATGGTATGCAAATATTAATAAAGACATGCGCCTCACTCCTCTAGGAATTAATTATGTGGCAAGAATTGCTTAAGTAACTTTGAAATACTTTTAACACCTTCACTAGGCGATATTGTTTACAGTTTTTGCTCGTGTGCGTTTGGTCATATTGTGTCCTCCCTGTAAAGGCGTGTTTACATTTTGTTGGCGCGATTATAGTTATAATATTAAAATATACAGTAGGTACTTGTTTACTTTTAGGTTATCTAGTAGTTAAAATAGTTTTTAACAAATATAATTACATATTGTTATTACGTACAGATTTTTTTACAACGTTTAAGAAAAGCAGGGCTGTTCTTTATATGTAAATAATTTGACAATAAATTGACTAGTTTTGCATAATGTTGTAAGTCAGCATAAAATCGAGGGAGGATTCTTCTTGCCTTAATTACAGATGATTTTATTTTTAAAAAGTCGATAGTTCCTGTATTTACATTAAAAATCTTTTAACTTGGAACCTAAAATATTAATAGGCTTGCAATATAAGTTTATTATTTTCTATTAAGTATCCATAAGTAATATCATAGTAAGATTCCCTCAAACGTGAGGTAGTGAAACGTGTAGAATAAATTCCCTCAAACGTGAACGTGTAGAATAAATGTTAATCAGATTATCCTTCAGTATTTAACTTGATGAGAATTCTT